ATTGGATAGCAAATGCAAACAAAATTTTGCTAAAGATAATTGAAAAATGGCAGCAATGGTACATTGACAGACAACATCCAGAGTTTCAAGCTGGATTCAGAAGAGGACATGGAACGAGGGATATCATTGCTGACATCAGATGGATTGTGTCTAAAAGCAGAGAATATTAGAAAAATGGCTACCTGTGTTTCATTGATTATATAAAGCCTTTCAATTGTGTGGATCAAGACAAGCTATGGACAACACTGTGGAGAATGAGTATTTCAGAACAGTTAACTGTAGTCATGAGGTACCTATACATGGACCAAGAGACAATTGTTTGAACACAATAAGCGACTGCTGAATGGTTTAAAATAAGCAAAGGTGTGCACCAGCATTGTATTTTGTCCCCATACTTACTCAACCTGTATGAAGAGCACATAATCCAAGAAGCTAGATTAGATGAAGAAGAATGTGGCATCAGGATTGGATGTAGACTCATTAACAATAAGCAATATGCAGATGATACAATCTTGGTTGCTATAAGTGAAGAGGACTTAAAATATTTACTGTTGAAGATCAAAGACCACAGCCTTCAGTATGGGTTGCACCTCAACATAAAGAAAACAAAATTCTTCACCACTGAGCCAATAAATAATACCATGATAAATGGAGAAGAGATATAAGTTGTCAAAGACTTCATTTTGCTTGGATCAACCATCAACACTCATGGAAGCTGTAGTGAAGAAATCAAACTACGTATTGAATTAGACAAATCTGCTGCAAAAGACCTCTTTTAAAGTGTTTAAGAGCAAAATGTCAGTGTGAGGACTAAAGTGCACCTGACCAAGTCAAGGTATTTTCAATAATCTCAGAAGCATGTGAACACTAGAGAGTGAATGAGGGCAAGAGAAGAATTGATACATCTGACTTATGGTGTTGAAGAAGAATATTAAAAAATACCATGAACTACCAAAGGACAAACAAATGTGTATTGGAAGAAACAGCCAGAATGCTCCCTGAAAGCCAGGATAGCCAAATTTCATCTCTCATATTTTGGACATATTATCA